AAAATTTTACTTATATCTCTTTATAGGTTAACAATTTATGATAAGACCAAATGAGAGGAGAAGTTTTATCGAAAAGGTCATTAAGGCTGTTCAGATATTTTCAACCGTTTCAGAGATATACATAAAAATGTGCACAAATTTAAAAAATTTTACGTCTATCTCTTTAGGGGTTAACAATTTATGATGAGACCACATGCGTCAAGACGTTTTATCGAAAAGGTCACTAAGGCTGTACAGATATTTTCAACCATTTCGGAGATACACATAAAAATGTGCAAAAATTTTCAGAATTTTACGTCTATCGCTTTTGAGGTTAACAATTTATGATAAGACCGAATGAGACAAAGGAAGTCCTAGAGACGTTCTAGCGAAAAGGTCATTAAGGCTGTACACATATTTTCAACAGTTTCGGAGATATACATAAAAATGTGCAAAAATTTTCAAAATTGTACGTATATCTCTTTATAGGTTGACAATTCATGATAAGACCAAATGAGGCAAAGGAAGTCCTAGAGACGTTCTATCGAAAAGGTCATTAAGGCCGGCAGATATTTTCAATCGTTTCGGAGATATGCGTGAAAATATGCAAACATTTTCAAAATTTTACGTCTCTCTCTTTAAAGGTTAACAATTTATGATGAGACCAAATGAGATAAGAAGTTTTATCGAAAAAGTAATTAAGGCTGTTCAGATATTTTCAACCGTTTCGGAGATATACATGAAAATATTCACAAATTTAAAAAATTTTACGTCTATCTCTTTAGAGGTAAACAATTTGTGATAAGACCAAATGAGACAAAGAAGGTCCTAGAGACGTTCTAGCGAAAAGGTCATTAAGGCTGTACAGATATGTTCAACCGTTTGGGAAACATACATGAAAATGTGCAAAAATTTTCAGAGTTTTACGTCTATCGCTTTTGAGGTTAACAATTTATGATAAGACCAAATGAGACAAAGGAAATCCTAGAGACGTTCTATCGAAAAGGTCATTAAGGCCGTACAGATATTTTCAATCGTTTCGGAGATATGCGTGAAAATATACAAACAATTTCAAAATTTTACGTCTATCTCTTTAGAGGTTAACAATTTATGATGAGACCAAATGAGAGGGCACGTTTCATCGGAAAGGTCATTAAGGATGTTCAGATATTTTCAACTGTTTCAAAGATATACATGAAAATGTGCACAAAGTTTTAAAATTTTACGTCTATCTCTTTAGAGGTTAACAATTTATGATAAGAGCAAATGAGACAAAGAAAGTCCTAGAGACGTTCTATCGGAAAGGTTATTAAAGCTGTACAGATATGTTCAACCGTTTGGGAGATATACATGAAAGTGTGCAAAAATTTTAAGAATTTTACGTCTATCGCTTTTGAGGTTAACGATTTATGATGAGACCAAATGGGAGATTTGGAGATATGAGGTTCTTAAGACGCTTTTTCAGACGCTTAGTTTGGGACGGTGCCCTGCTCTCATTTGAATTTGTTTGCCAATTAAAAGTTAGTTTTGCTTTAGAAGGGCGAAAGCCTACAATTGTTTATACCCGAAAGGGCGACAAAAATGGAGTTTCCGACTGTTTTCGCCTTGCAAATTTTTAAATTGAGATGCCCTTAAAGGGATCAACCGCCTCCACTATTTGCAGAAAAATGCCAGATAAAACGTTTTAATTGACCAGAAATCCCGAACTGGCGAACAAGTTCCAAGTGGAGAACGAGCCAAGAAAACCATGTATACAAATTATGGATAGATGGACCTGAAATGCGCATCTACTTATCCAGACTTAGAGTGGAAATTCCAGCATTTCCTCGCCAATCCCGGAAATTAACCTCGGGGCCACTAAATCATTTTCCTCCTTAATCCGTTCGCATTACTGCTTGCCAGTGAATTCCGAAATCTTGCCGCAGATAACGGGCCCCGAAAGTTGCCAGACAGTGGCTGGAAATCCCGTCCTGACATCCAGGTTTGGAATGTCCCGCTCCTGCTATCCCCTATCGGGCCTATCAGATTGCCGGGATGGCAAACTTTCAACTGAATTAATCGGGTTTTGATGCCTAAGCCAAATCACAAAACACCTCAAAATGTTCGAAAATTCCGCGCCGCCATCAGTCGGAAGGTTTCCATTTCGTCCTCATTGTCAAAAGTTCGTTATTCCGCTATTGATTCTGGGCTTATCTTTGTTTTGCTCGATGTCGACGTGCTGGTGTTTGACACAAAATGGATGAATGAAAAACGGAAATCCCCCACGTACGTGCTAATGGAGCACTTAATTCAGCGGTGAGCAGGAAAACGTTCCATTCTGGAACTGTTCTATTGATACTCCGCCCCTGATTTAAAGCGCTTCCAATTTCTGCAGCACGAGTTTTCCATTAAAGGTTCGAAAATGGCAAGAGCCCGTCAGAAAGGTCACGACACCGGACGTACGCAAAAAACACAAAAAACTCAAAATCCATTTACACCCGGTTGGTTATTAGTAGGAAAACCTCATGTTCATAACCGCAAACGAATAAAATTGAAACGAGCCGATCGAAATGCAGATGCGGAAAGCACGAAGCCAAGAGTGGGGTTAAGGTTGCCGGTTTATGGATATTTCGCGTGACTGTAGCGGGCGATAGAAAGAAAATCACTTTATATCGACTAATAAGAACAGAACATTTTGGGGACGCTGTCGTGTTCCGTGAGCTTAACGCTCTTTTTATGACACGTAGCCGTTGATTGGCCGCAAATTGTCTGCGCTTGTCTCACTGGCGAGCCAGCCACTGGACCCGAACATTGCCGACCACACTCGAGCCCAATCGGCCAATGTCAAATGATCACATTGCCAATGTAAATCAGCTTTGGCAAACTGTCTGACTTAACACTAGATGGCGGCCCTGATCAAGCCATCCGCTTATGCAACCCCTAATTAATCACCGATTTGAGCCGAAACGGGAACAGTCTACAGCAAATTGAGAACGGTTCCGCATTTATTCCCGATTCAAATCGGTACCTACGCAACATCAATGCCATTCACCTGTGAAATGTTCAAAGAACTTGCGGACTTTGAAATGAGGTCGCAGAAAAAGGAGCAAACCACCGAATCGTGTACATGGAAACTCCAGTTGTACGAGCGCCGGAAGCGGAACTTTCTCGCAAACCCATCTCGGGGATGTTAAATTCGATGGGATCCAAAGACGCTTTTAAAAAGAAATATTTTCCCGACTAAATTTAATTATGAAATGTACCTTTTCGCATCGAGGTAGTTTTGTGGATCGCTTTGATGGTCGTGAGGGCGCTCGAAAATGATTTTTCAATCAACATCTGAAGGAAATCGGTGAACCGAAACAGGCAATAATGGGCCTCATTTGTTTCGCAGTGAAAACCATCAGCTTGTCCTATTCGATATGCATATTTTATGGTGTTGCGCGACATTATAGTCTATTAAACACGATTATTTGCGTTCGATTTTTCAATCAAACCACCCTTTTACCTTTACCCGAACCACTGTTTTTCAGAAGGGGGCCGGGTTGCGATGCGGTAACAGTAGGCTGGTAACGCGATTTTTATGTAAAAAGTTTCATCAGAAAAGCTAATATTAAAGTTTGGAGATGATTTTTTATTCAAGTGTGGGCGTGTCGTGCGTTTTGAACGATAATCGACCTATTGATTGTGCCAAGAGACTTTTCCCATTTGGAGTTGAACTTTCTGGGATTTTGACGAGAATTACCAGGTTTTGGATTGAGAAGTTCAAAGTTTTTTTTGTAGAAACCTTTCGCTGATAACCGAGCGTACGACGCGGAAACTTTGAAAATGCGATTAAATTAGAGAAAAAATCGCTTTTGTTCGTGCGAACTCCGATACAAGGCACAATGAGAGTGAAGTAAAGCACTTTAAATTATGAGCGCCACGGCTGCGATAAAACTACCGAAAACGATTTAAAACATCATTTATTTGATGCCATTCAATTTGTTCAGAGAAACGATGCGTTTCCTTCTTTTGTTAGTGTCAGATAAGAGAATGCGGACGAATTCTTTCGTTCAGCACAGCACATTCAATAGTACCTAATTTGCCGTATTGTGTTTTCCTGCTCTGGTGGACCGCGGATTAATCAAAAAAAGTTGAAGTAGATTAAAGTTAAATGGCATTTTGCGAGTATCCAAAATTTAAAAATCTCCGTTGATTGATCATGTTCCGAAGTAGCCGGCTGCATGGTAAATAAGTGAACAGCGGCCACTAATTAAGGCGCATTTGCTTGCTGGGCAGGCAAATATCAGCGATATCACGCAAAAGGCAAATAGATATGGACATGTTGGTCAGCAAAGTCCATTATGAAGGTCCCATCAATTACATGCAATTGCTTGTGCTGATGTATTGAGCAGAGGAACTGTGGAGATTTGCAATTGCAATCGACGCTTGTGCTAGTAAAAAATGTATCAGCTTTGGAAATTTCCACTAAAGTCCCTGATGATGGTGCCCAATTGAAACGTTCGGGTTTATAAAAGAAATCCTGCTCGTTCCGAAAAAAAACGTTTTTAAGCCCCGGGCTTAATTCGGCCGGGAGACACGGATTTTTGAACTTAGATTTACAATTTTGCACATGAAAAATGAACGAGTTTCGAAAATTTCCTATGGAATCCCTGGCGATGCTGGAAAGGTGAAATTTGCAGAATTTATGACAGAAACCTCACGCTTTCCAATGCAGTTATCCCCAAGTTTGTCTCTATATTTCGTCTGGATAAACGAATTTTCAAACTTAACGATTTGAACTTTTTAAAATTTCTGATGACGCTCAAGTCTCTAATGACAGAGAAGAACTGAAAATTACCAAATTTATTAAAATAACTGCACTTTCCAAACAAACATTTCAGTAAGTTTGCAACAAAAATCGAAAATGACCGACATTTCCTCACGTGGAAAATTAACAAGTTTTGACCTTTTTCTCTAAAAAATCTAATGCAGGAGGCAGGTTGAAACTTACAGCATTGAAAAAAAGACCTTAATCTTTGCAAAAAAATATATTTAGGTTTCCCTCTCGAGTTCTGCCAGAGATGCGAATTTTCAAACATAGAGCGGGCATTTTTTCTCATAAAAAATGAACCGGTTTCAAAAATTGCCTCTCAAATCCCTGATGATGGGCGCCACCTGAAACTGCCAGGCGTTATAGAAGAGACTTGGCCCTTTCGTATACCTGCATGTTGAAGTTTCTTTTTCAATTTATCTTGGACCTGGAATTTTGTCCAATCGACACTTTTAGCCATGAAAAATTTGACAATTTTCAAGTTCAAGTTTCCGTTGAAAATTGAAGCTTTCACAAAGTATTAATAAAAGAGACTCAGGCGTTTTTCAAAAGCTTTCTCTTCCATTGTTACACGGAATTTTTTCAGTAGTTGCTAATTTTCAAACATGGAACGCAAAATTAGGCGCCGTTAAATTTTTTTAAAGTCCCTGATGGCGATAGCGAATTGAAACTTTGGGGTTTTATAGAACAGACTTTGCTCTTTCAAATACAATGCTCCTGAAGGACTTTTCGCAATTCAACTCGAAGCTACGAATTTCCAAACTTAGATCGACACATTTGCTCATTCTAAATTTATCAATTTAATCAGTTTTGAAAATTTCGTCGGGACGCGCTGAAGATGGTGGTGACTTGAAATTCTCAGGATTTATAAAGACTCTGATGTTGCAAAAAATTGCATTGAATGTGCTCTAGGCATTCGCAATTTCAAATGTAGATAGAGCAGCACCTGTGCGCATGAAACTTAACTGGATTAGCTGGATTCAAAAATTTCCTCTAAAATCCCGGATGACGATGGCCAACCGAAATTTGGCGAAGTCTCCTCATTCGCATAACGTTTTCCGCAAGCCTCTATCTCGATTCCGAGGGAAGTTACGAATTTTCGAACGTATATCAACATTCTACTCCTGAAGCAGTGAAACTGCTCGATGAGGGAGGAAAATTGAAACTTGGAGAATTGATAAGAGACTTTGGTCTTTCGTTGGAAAATGAGTCTAAGTTTCCCGTGTTGAACTTGCTCAAGCGAAACACATTTTTAAACTTGGTTCGGTACTTTTGCACATAAAAAAATAAGTAGATTTGAAAATTTCTCTGAAACTCCCGATAAAAGTGGCAGGTTGAAACTTGCGAGTTATTTAAAGGATGCTCTCGATCTTTTGCAAAAGTTTTTTTTGAAGTTTCCTTCCGAATTTGCGTCGAAGTTACGAATTTTCAAACATGGAGCGGGTTTCGGCAATTTCCTATGGAATCCCTGAAGAAGGTGACAGGTTTAAACTCTCAGGATTTATAAAAGAAACTCTTCTTTTTCTAATGCAACTATCTTCCAGTGGCCATGAGAAAACCCCGGCAATAATTATAAAGTTCCCCATTTCTCCAATAAACCGCAAAAGATAAATTTGACGTGCGCAAACAAATGTATCCTTTCTTTGCTTATCGCCCTGTGTACGATTCATTTTCACTGGGACTCACTGTAGGGTGTTGATCGAAAGAGATCGTCGATTAAAATGAGTGAAAATCTGTAAGGTCTTAAATTGTTACAATAAGACTATAATCAAAATGCTTTTAATATTATCAATATAAGTTCAGCCATATATTATAGACCACAGTGTATCATAAAGCCATATTGCTTAGCTTAGTGAAGCATAATTTTTGTTTATCGCGAGAGCAACCTTTTTTAGTTAGTCGTCGTCAAATCGCTGCTGATACAGAATCGTTTTCGTATGCGGAAATCTACTTTTGTACTGTGTTGTTCTTTATCACTTATCAATACACTTTTATTCATTCATTAAGAGTGGGTCCACTTTATTTAACCAACAGAAATCCACTCACCCGCTGATCCTTAGGACGGGTTTCCTGCCTTCGAGCCACGCCACCCTCCACGTCCGGATAAATGAGGTTTCTCACCGCTCCGATGAATCGCGGCTCGAAGAAGACGCTGGGCAGAGCGAGCAGCGCCAACTTCTTGTTGTACCACTTGGGCAGCCCGCCGACATACACGTCCGAGTTGGTCTCCAGCTTGCCGAAATGGAACTCTTTGCCATGCGAGGTGCGCATCTGCGAGACATTGTCCACCGTCAGGATGGTGCGCTCCTCGTGCCGCTGCAGCTGCACTTTGTGCCAATGCGCATCGTTCAGCTCTTTGCCGACGGTGATGATCTGCGCGCCGCTGCCCAAGTTGAAGCGCAGCCGGAGCGCTCCCTCCACCAGCTTGACTTCGAAGAAGTCGTAAGTGCCGCCATCGTCTGTGTACAAGAGCAGACCGTTCGGCTGGTCGGTCTTAAATTCGAATTCCAAGGTGCCGTTGGTGCCGCCGCCCCACTTGCGGAATTTCGCGTAGGACTCGGACGAGCCGTCTAGCACGAACCCGGTCACGCTCGTGCAGAAAACCGCCACCACGAGCACGAACTTCATCATGCGTTCGCAGCAACCGCTCGGTTCGTTAACAAAATGAGAGGCAAACGCGCGCTGTCGATCCATCCGCAGACGAAGAAACACACCACATGTCTTCCGAAGGATTAGGCTGCAGCGAATGTGATATGTGTTATTCCGGCGGACTGGAGCGAAAGCAGCTTAGGCCCTAATGTCTCTATTGATAAACCCGATAGTGTTTTTACTCCTGCGGTCTAAGCCGACATCCTGCTGGCTTCGAGGTCGCGCTCAAGCTTTACACGATCTGGAACAGAAATAAATCTTGTTAGGAATTAGGGAGCGCTCTCTTTTGTGCCCACCATTCACTCTTAATGGTGGTTGCAACTCCAACGGCACTTTGCCTAAGCTATCGCGTCTGACCGCAACTAATGAATAATAATGTTGATGAATGGATTTCAGCGCAGTTTGCCCATCTCCAGATGGTTCCATGAACCAAAACGCGAAAATGTGCGAGTAGCCGTTAATTGTGTTGGACTATAATATATATTTTCTTTTGAATTCAAGCGCTAGTTCGAAAAAAATGTCTTTTTGCAGCCAAAGTGCACCCATTAACAACTTTAGTGGGAACATTTGCCGGTTAAAACCACTGGTGAACCATTTTTACTTTCAATCCCGAGCAGAGATAACCGATGGTCTCACCTTTTCCTCACTGTCAAAGACCCAGTCTAAAATATCAATTTTTGGGGGGATTTGCAACTTTTTGAAGCTGAAATTTAAAAAAGTCGATCGATTTTATCTGTTTTTATAAAAACTCTTTTTCATTTTCCTCTAGAAATGAAGACGAAACTGCGATTGATCTGCTAAGTGATTATTCCAATTTTTCCGAATGAAACCAGTGAAGATTGAAAAGCGATTTTCCGGCATTCAATAGAGCAAGTTTCACTCCATGTTTCTTGAAAGTTTTATTTGTCTACAGCTGCGGACCGAATTTTGTGAATTTCTCAAAACGACACTTAATCAACTTTTGTGATCAATTTACCCGCCGGTTTTGGAAAATTATTTGCGACCAAACCAGATCAGATTCAAGAGCTGTTTTGGAGCAGTAAATAGAGCAAACTTTGCTCTATATATGCTCAAAGTTTGATTTTCCTGCTGGATTAGGCTGAACTTTGAGAATTAATTTACCGCCGTTTTTCAGGACCAAACCAGATCAGAATAAAGAGCGCTTTTTACGGCAGTGACTAGAGCAGCTTCACTCTATGTTTCTTGAAAGTTTCATTGTCTTGCTGATCCGGAGCGAATTTTGAGAATTATTCAAAGTGACACTTGCAACGACTTTTACTATTAATTTACCCGCCGTTTTTGAAACATTCTTTGCGAACAAAGCAGATCAGACTAGAGAGCGCTTTTAAGAGCAGTAAATAGAGCACGCTTCATTCTGTTTCGTGAAAGTTTGATTTTCCTGGCAGTCCGGACGGAATTTTGAGAATTACTCAAAGTGACACTTAAACAACTTTTGCGATCAATTTACCCGCCGTTTTGAAAAATTATTTGAAATCAAACCAGATCAGATTGAAGAGCGCTTTTTAGATCAGTAAATAGAGCAAGCTTCATAATATGCTTCGTGAAAGTTTAATTCTCCTGCCGATGCGGATCGAATTTTCAGAATTACTGAAAGTGACACTTAAACAACTTTTGCGATCAATTTACCCGCCGTTTTTGAAAAATTATTTTCGACCAAACCAGATCAGATTGAAGAGCGCTTTTTAGAGCAGTAAATAGAGCAAGCTTCACCATATGCTTCGTGAAAGTTTAATTCTCCTGCCGATGCGGATCGAATTTTCAGAATTACTGAAAGTGACACTTAAACAACTTTTGCGATCAATTTACCCGCCGTTTTTGAAAAATTATTTTCGGCCAAACCAGATCAGATTGAAGACTGCTTTTTAGAGCAGTAAATAGAGCAAGCTTCACCATATGTTTCGTAAAAGTTTAATTCTCCTACCGGTGCGGATCGAATTTTCAGAATTACTCAAAGTGACATTTAAACAACTTTTGCGATCAATTTACCCGCCGTTTTGAAAAATTATTTGAAATCAAACCAGATCAGATTGAAGAGCGCTTTTTAGGGCAGTAAATAGAGCAAGCTTCATTCAGTTTTGTGAAAGTTTCATTTTCCTGGCAGTCCGGACGGAATTTTGAGAATTACTCAAAGTGACACTTAAACAACTTTTGCGATCAATTTACCCGCCGTTTTGAAAATTTATTTGAAAACAAACCACTTCAGATTGAAGAACGCTTTTTAGAGCAGTAAATAGAGCAAGCTTCATTCTGTTTTGTGAAAGAGTCATTTTCCTGGCAGTCCGCACGGAATTTTGAGAATTACTCAAAGTGACACTTAAACAACTTTTGCGATCAATTTACCAGCCGTTTTGAAAAATTATTTGAAATCAAACCAGATCAGATTGAAGAGCGCTTTTTAGAGCAGTAAATAGAGCAAGCTTCATTCTGTTTCGTAAAAGTTTAATTCTCCTGCCGGTGCGGATCGAATTTTCAGAATTACTCAAAGTGACATTTAAACAACTTTTGCGATCAATTTACTCGCCGTTTTGAAAAATTATTTAAAATCAAACCAGATGAGATTGAATAGCGCTTTTTAGAGCAGTAAATAGAGCAAGCTTCACCATATGTTTCGTTAAAGCTTTATTGTCCTGCCGGTCCGGACAAAATTTTGAAAGTTTCTTAAAATGACCCTTAAACAACTTATGCGATCAATTTAACCGCCGCTTTTAAAAAATTCTTTGCGACCAAACCAGATCAGATTGAAGAGAGCTTTTTTAGGGCAGTAGATAGAGCAAAATTTGCTCTATGTTTCTTCAAAGTTACATTTTCCTGCCGGATCAGGTTAAATTTTGAGAATTATTCAAAGTCACTCTTGAATAACTTCTGCGACCAAATTTATCCGGCGTTCTTTTAAAGAGTGAATTTAGTGGGTACAATCGTCAATTTTACTTTAAATTTTCGAGGAAAAACCGTGCGATTTTTAGGCAAAGAGATGAAACCAAGCTTGGACCTAAAAGTGAGGCCAATAATTATAAACGTGTCAATTTGGTGGAAATAATTGACATTTTTCAGTTTTTGCATAAAGTGAAGCCAAAACAGTTCAAACAATGCCGAGTTTGGCACTGAAAAGGGACAATTATTTCAACCAAATTGACAAGTTTTGAAGCTCTAAGACTAAAAGAGTGGCAATTTGGTAGAAACAATTAAGACTATTTCATCAGTTGCGGTTTTTTGGCGATTTTTGAAACAGTGCCGATTTCTGGGAACAAAATATTTAATGGAACAAAAGCAGATTCATTTAAAATGGGGAAAAGGATCTTTCCTTTTAAAAAACAATATCCCACTGTGACAGGCGCTAAATCCCTTCGTGCGAAACAAATTCTTCGGCTCATGAATAAGAAATGGGAGTTTGAATGAATAAGATCGACGAAAGCAATTTTGCCCCATATTCGAATGTCAACCGAAGTTCTTCCATATTCCCGGGCGCGGTTTTTTTGCTTTGTGCAAGCAAAATGATGCTTAATAGATATTTCGGACGCGTCGCGGTTATGCTAATTTATGCCAAGCGCGGCGTTTGGGCACTGTGAGAACGATATTTTTTGCGTTTTAGACAATTTATTCAACTGGCGGCCCCATTCGGGGCTCTTTCAATGGCCATTTTACCTTCCGAATGGTCATGGTTGGCTCGAAAACACCCACTTTGCAACGTCATTTCCCAAGCATCTACTTTCAACAAGAGTGTTTCACAATCCGGCCAAACTTGAAACTTGCAACCTTTTTATGACCGAGGGAGTTAGTCCATATTTAGAGCCTCTTTATGGAGAAGTTGCTTACCCCCTAGGATCAGGTGCGATTTACTCCAAGTGAATTTTTACACAGTTTTTTTGATATCGAACATTTTTTACGTTTTTTGGTGATTAGTGGCCCGATTATTTCACGAAAATCGACACCGAACATGCACTAAAGTGGTTCAGAGTACTAAGTAAAGAAAATTAACATAATTGGTACTAAATGCACATTTCTAAGCGTAATTTTGTTTATGGCACACATTGACCAGTTTACAAAGAAAATTACTTATGGGCTCGATATGGATGTGTTCCTGCTAATGGGTGCATGTAAGCCGATAATCTGCGGTTGTTTCGACGGTAAATTGCCTATCAATTATTGTCCCATGCAAATGAAAAAACGCATTTTGTATGCAACTACGAGGCCAGAATCCAACTGGTTTAAAGTGAGGGAAGATCAAAAAAATAATGCGCCGTTGGTTGGATGAAGTAAGAGGATTCCCTAGAAGCTAATCTCAGGAGAAAAATTACACAATTAAAACTCCCATTTTCCAGTGTTTGCGTCCCAACCGTCACACACTCGTTGATGAAATCGTAGCAATTTTGGCGCATCTCAAAATCCACGCTTCCACACAGAGTCAACCCGCTGCAAAATCCGGAAATTTCCCATTTTCCAAACAATGGCTCAATGAAGACGAATCGCGCCCGACTGTTCTTACGGTGCTTGAGCCACTTAGATGGAGTTTCAATGACAACGTTTCGCTCAACTAGGGGGCATCATCAGTGCTTACCTGGGGCATCGTGCATCGGCCAACAGCCGCACTAATGGGGATCGTGGGGGGCAGCAAAAGTCCACACTCGGATGTCACTAAATCGACGATTGATGGAATGGAAGAACCGCGTCCAGACGGTAAGTCGTGTGACTGCTGTCCTGCAGCGGTGACGTTGCCATTTGGGGTAGCAAAAGGGCGCAGGCGAGCCTGCGCCATTCCGGAGCTGGAATGCGAACCGCCAAAGAGCGTTGGGAGGTTCTCCAGGACGGGAAAGTTCCTGGATAAACCGTTTTGGTGATTTGTGGGAAAAACAAGTTTTCCCAAAAAACGATCAGAGAAAGCAAAAGCGTGTATGCCCGGTTTCTCAACATTTGCCCTGATTAGTACCTTTTTAATTCGACCGACAGAGGGAACTGCTTGATAGGGTATGTTCCATTTTTGACTGGTAGTACGGAAGGTGCAAAATCCCGGTAAAAAAGAAGCGGATAGTAAAGAACTTTCACTTTTGTGCATCGCAAGCTAGATGACGCCACAAAAAAACGCATTTTAATCGGTCGGTAAACATATGGTTTGAAGATGTTTCAAAAAACCGCCACAGATTTGGTATAAAAGCTCTCGGGTTTTTATCTGAATTCAGCATAACTGTTCACTAACGGACAATGAATTCCTTCTCACAGTATATGTTTTAAGGCAGTCCCCAATAAGGTCCAATAATACACTAAAACAGTGTTTCGTTAAACGAAACCTGTCGCGAAATTCAGAATCTCCATATTTGTTCATTTGGTCTTCTCGTTCAGGATACCGACTTGGCCGTTCAATATAACTTAGAAGTTCAATAATTTCATCATCAGAAAATGAACTCGAATTATCTATTTTAAATAACTATAATAAATTTTTATACGTTAAACAAAACAAAACTGTTATGCAATGCTGTTATGTAATAAGAATAGGTTATGTTAGGTTAGAATCGCTCTGTTGTAAAAATCAAAACAAACCCCACACGCTTGCGTCAGACGTTATGAAGCCGATATCCATCCATCTTCGAGTAGATATCTATTGGATAACTTATGGAACCAATAAGCTTTAAACAGACGTTGAGAAACCCAACAGTCGCGATTTTGGTAGTTTATGAGACTCATAAGCTTATGTAACCGATATGTTGGAGTTCGGAAACCGGGCATTAATCAAGTAAATGTTTGGAAAACTCGTCACCCTCATCGCTCTGAGGAGTCTTTAATTTTGTTCAAAATTGCGGTTGGCTTTTTCCGTTTTTAGCCCATGAGTTAAAACTTTTTAGCTCAGCTAGCAACAGCTCAAAAGCGCAACTCAACACAGTGTTAACTAGTGTCCATTTGCAACTTTCACTTCTACCATCATTCCATCAATTTTCCATTCAAAAATTGGTCTGCCTGCCTAGAAAACACCTTGCAAAGCTTCAAGTACGGAAAATAAGTTGTATAAATCCAAACCAAAAGATTCTTTTTCCAGCAACAAAGCGTCCACATTTTGGAGAATGGGCTGGAGGCGCTAATAAACCCACCCCCAGCCCTCCACTCCCGAGCCTCTCTTTCCATTACATGGAAAAGGAATAGAGCCCTCCGATGCCGGGGATTTGACCAGAGGGACGAGTCCGTATCGTTTGAATTTTATGCTTATTTCCTTTATTAGATGCACTTTTTCAGGGTGTTTTTGTCCCAGCCAACCCACTCGCTTTCAAGTGGGAGTAAACGTCAACATTTTCGTTGTTTGCTTGTATGCCAATGAACCATTCATCCTTCATGTATCTTAGCGTTTTATCACCGACTGTTTATCAACTCTTTTATTAATTAATTTTGAGTACTTTCGTCCTTGCCAAGACGCCGTTTCTCTGCTCAAGATCCGGCCGGCCGAGTCATTAAAATGAATCTTTCAGCAAAGTGGTGAATTATTAAACTGAAAAGTTTCTCTGTCCCAGTTCCGCTTTCTGGTCTATTGTTTTAATCGTCGGCGCAATTCTTATCGGAAAAGCGCTCCGTGCATCGAGTCGTCTTTAATTTAAATTTTGCCCACACTCACACGTCCACATCCACGATCCATTAAACTTGCGAAAACTTTAAAGTTTTCCCATAAATTTTGCCCTCATATGGCGTCGCTTTATCCTTATTAATATTAATTTCGGCTCTGGAACGCGGTAAGTGGAATTGGGGTCACATATAGGTATAACAAGCAAATGTTGCGAAAAAAACAGTTTTTTTTTCAACAAACCTCTTAACAAAAGAGATAGATTTTCGAAGCCATTCTTTGGAACTAATGAGTTTTTCGGGTTTTTAGGCCGTCGTTCGGTAGAATTTCTTCCTGACGTTTCGTAAGCACGAGTGGCTTGGCATCTTCAGAAGTGGTTTGCTTGTGGAAGCAAGCTTGCGAAACGTCAGGAAGAAATTCTACCGAACGACGGCCTAAAACCCGAAAAACCCATTAGTTTCAAACCTCTTAACGCCGTAAGTTATCATAAACAGTTTTTAATTAAACTTTGCCGACGAGACGATTAATTTACTCACTGGGAATCGGTGGGGCTTTGCTTGTGGATGCAAACCACTTCTGAAGATGCAAGCCACTCGTGCTTGCGAAACGTCAAGAAGAATATATACCGAACGACGGCCTAAAAACCCATTAGTTTCAAACCTCTTAACGTCTTAAGTTATCATAAACAGTTTTTAATTAAACTTTGCCGACGAGAGTATTAATTTACTCACTGGGAATCGATGGGGCTTTGGACCGAAAAAGACGGTTTCAATTAACAGAAAACTTAAAACTGTTCGCCGCAGGATTTTTATTAAAAAGGCAAATATTATGACTCGGTTGTAATTGCAAGGAAAGCCCAACTGAAGAGCTGAGTTTTCGATTGAAAACTTTAGCGATCAGAAGAATTAGTCACTGTTTCGGCCTATGAAGCTTTATTTTGATATTAAAAAAAATTGACGATTTTTTAAAGCTTTGCCCAATTCAGGTACCTGAGGTTGCAAATATCAGTAAAAAACATATAAAGGTAGGACCAATGTCATAATTTAAGTCCCTCGAACTACAAAACACGCTGTATTTCAAAAACGGTCAGAAATATTTGATCAGTCGTTGGGGTCTCTTCGATTGCTCTTTTGCAGCACTATACTTTACTAATAGGGTTTTATGGCAAATTTCTAGCCCTCAAAGGGGTAGAAGCGAAAATATGAGACCGATAAAAATATCAAATTAGTCGTTTTTTGGTTGCTACTTTTGTGCTTCAGACAATTTATGTTTTAGAAGCTGCTTAGTTAAATGAGCTGTTGTTTATTACTTTTCTGTACCCGGTTGTTACTTTTCGGTAGGTTTTTTTGCTTGATTACTTTACACCCATTGCTCTTCTCGTCTGTAGAACTATGAATAGTTTTTTGGGTCGTTTGATAATTTGCGTCTGCTCCGGTGTTTTTTAAGTTCTATTTGTCGTGCTTCGAACTGTTTCTGCTTTGTAATCTATTCAATTAAATTATCCTTGATTTATTTGTTTTCTTGTACAATTTTTGATGAACTACTGAACACGAATTGAATTATCGTGAAACCCGGGCAAAATTTCGCAGTAATAATGGAGACCTTTTCGGTTGAGGTTGTTGAGTGCTAGGTTTCTCTAATTAAACTTTCACTAAAGGTGGTTATAGTTTCCAAAACTTTTTCTTGGCCCAGTCTGTTAGCACGGCCTTTAATCAGTTTCAATATTGTGCTTGTTTTCCACTCTTGCATACAACTGAGAGACACGGAAAAGTCCTGATGGGATTTACGAAAGAGGATTGAGCCGCCCCATCCTCTCTCCGCTTATATAACAGAATTGCGTCAAAATTCCATTCCAGTTGGAACTTTTGCAAACTGAATAATCTAAGCTGTCCGGTTCACGTGCTGAAATATGGCGGTATAAATTGTAAGTCGCGTACAGCATACGAAAATCCAATTTCTCTTCGCAGTGACCTACAACTACGGCGCTGAATTATTATTACAAACTTTTACAACGATGGACCTGAAAAGGCTCTTTACTGGGAACGTGCCACTTTGTACAAGTTCGGGGCTCTAAAACCATCTGGACTTACAGATGGGACATCCTGTATATTTTCGAGGGCTTAAGCCTGTGTCCCATGCTCGATGGTACGATGATACGAAAGTGTTTCTATTGGTTGGAGA